CGGAGTTTGACGACATTGACTCCATCCTAGGGGGCCTTGAACAAACACACCATGCCTAAGTAAAATTTCTTATCCAATACAGTAGATACTTTTCGTTGCAGTCAGCAGAACTACATGTACAACGGCAACAGCTACTTTATTGATGTAGAACGCATAACGTAGAGCACTGCCCAGAAGAAAGCATTTATATCCGACAGCCAAGGTCAATAGTATTGTTGATGCTTGTCATTGTATTATTTACCAGGACGAATGGCACAACTATATCGATCAAGTGCAAACAAATCTTTGTCTGAATGAAAGGAATTGGAATGAGTAGAGCTGCTGGAATGGGCTTGTCTTTAAAAAATCGGCTAGTTAAGCCGTCGGCACTCCTTTCCACACTCCCTACGTATTGCCTCAAATGTTACGAAAACAATCACTGCAACGAAAAGTATCTACTGTATTGGATAAGAAATTTTACTTAGGCATGGTGTGTTTGTTCAAGGCCCCCTAGGATGGAGTCAATGTCGTCAAACTCCGTACAGAACTCTTCAACCTCTGCAGGCGTGAACTGCGCCTTCCTTTCGCTGAAGATGGCATCTAGTCGGTCTTGTTGATCCACCAAGAGACTCGCATCGCAGTAGTATTCGAGTATTTGCCGCACCTGCTTAACACCCATGTGTCCTAGCAGCAGCTTCTTGTTGACGCGGCCAGGGCGAACGAGTGCCGGGTCGAGTTTCTCCGGGTGGTTCGTGGTCATGATCACGATGCGTCCCGGACAGTCGATGACACCGTCCAACACGTTGAGCAGACCCGAGAGATTCAACTTGTCCTCGCTACTCTTCGGCTTGAGCATGGGACCTATAAGTCCGCCCACTCCTTCCTCCGGATCCTCCTCCATCGCCTTCTTCTGACTGTCAAACATACGATCAGCCTTGCTTGGCTTCTTCTCACTGTCGTTGCGGGCATTCACGATGGAAGACGCACAGTCAATGTCCTCCATCACGAAGACGATGTCCTCAAAGTTCATTTCCACGGGCGAATCTAGCCCTTGTACTGCGAATTGCATGTCGAACAGTGCGTCGAGCAGCTGCTGGTTCGTGTGGATCTTGCCGAGCGAGATCGTCACAATGTGGCGCCGTGTGTGCTGAGCAATAGCCTTGATGAGACTCGTCTTGCCCGTTCCTGGAGGTCCATGCAGCAAGAGTCCAAGCTTGTATGGAAACCCCTTGATGGCAAACTTGCCGGACTTGTTGGTGAAGTTATTGAGCAGCTGCACCACGTTCTCCTTCTCCTCGAAGAAGAGATTCTCGAACGTCTTCTCCTCGCCCAACGCGTATCGTTTGTAGGTCACCCTCGCGTCTTGATCCAGAATACTGGGACCACCAGTCTGGATGTAGTAGTAGCGGAGCGTGTCCTTGCTGTATCGCGTGCGCTCCATGTCCTGGTACTGCTTGAACGCGCGCTGGATGAGCGCGTCGATGCGCTCCGAGCCGTCGGGAAGCGTCGAGAAGAACTTGAAGTTGACGTTGGTCTCTGTCAGTGTCTTGGTCTTCTTCTCCTCGTTGTCCTCAGGCTCGACTGTCTCGTGCTTGAATTGGACGCCTTCCTCCACCTCGATCCACTCGTTCTCTTGAGGAAGCGCCTCCCAGCTCAGACCGTCCACGGCCCCACAATAACCACTCTCGTCATCGGAGTCGAATGAAGACACGCTCGTGTCACCGTCGTCGCTGTCCGTGAGCGTTTTGGTCTTTTTTTGCGGTCGATGCAGTAGGTCGTACTTGGCGTCCTTGTTCGTCAGATCCAGCACGTCCGCCAGGTATAGTGAAATAGCCTTCTGCAGTAGGTGGTTCTTCTGGTCATAGTCCCAGATCTTGTGGCCCTCGGAGCTGAAGCGTTGCGTGATGCCGATGATCCGGTACACGCCTTCGGGCTCCTTCTTGCCGAAGATGAGTCCGTACAGGCGGCTGAGTAGCGAATCACTCGAGCCCTGCAGGTACGTGATGAGCTGCTGCACCAGTAGCGACACGATCAGACACACGAAGGCGTCCACCACGACGTTGCCCGTGCTTAGGCTGCGTAGGAGCTCGTCTGTGGGGTTGAGTGGGGATGCAGTCGTGCTGCTCATGGTTTTTCCTAGGCTAGGAGTCCTAGCTTGCCTTACTAGTCTCTTGGTTGAATGGCACGCGCCACTGAGGTGGTAAATTAAGCAATGAGATGCGAAGGTGAAGATTTTTCGTCGTCATCCTTGGTGTGTACCTACCTGCCCTTCGATCGAGTTTTCGAGAGAACGACTAACACGATTCGAGCGGTTATCGTATGGAGCCCTTCCAGCAATGAAAAAGTGAATGATGGTTGCCAAATAAGACTGTGTAACCTGATGAGTTTGATTTTCTTACCCCGTGTATTGTTATAAATGCTGTCATCTACCACTTAGTACCACGTACTGTTGTAGACAACCAAGTCTCGAATAACGGATATGAGATGCAAATCATTCATTCTGACGAATCTCAACCCACCATCACTCAGAACAACTTCAACTAACAGCTGATTGGTTGGCCGCGAAAGTGCCTCTTCATCTGAAATGGGGTTCACCACGTCACTACGCCGATAGATATCTGTACGTGAAAACTGCAACTATTCAACGTCTCCCAATGTGGATGTCACTTCCCAATTTACGCCGAGTTGCTCACTACACACCTACTATCTTACACCTCCACACACTTTAACCATGAGCTCTACAGCCGTCGAATTCGGACTCATCAACACCTTCCGTACACACAACGTGTTGATCGACACGCTGCTGTGTATGCTCGTACCGCTTCTCATACAGAAGATCGTGGCCTACGTGCAACAGTCGCCCCAGTCCCTTCTCTCCATGCTTCGGAACTTCCTCATCCCTCAGAAGGACGAGCGCCGAGTCTCACGTGTCATTGAGGTCAAACAGCGCTTCAATCGCTGGGGTAAAGTCTGGGACTATGAACAAAAGAATCATCTGCTACAGAAGGCCATCTCCATCTACCTCGCCGATGTCCTCGATCTCAAGAGCAAAAACGCGCAGTATGAACTGCTCGAGAAGACCAAAAAGAGTAAGAAGACCACCAAGGCACTGCTCGACGCTGCAGTCAGTGAATCCAACTGCTCCACGACAGGTTCCGAGTCTTCGGACGGTGATGATGATGATGATGATGATGACGAGTATTACGGCGAAGTGAACCGCCTCAACGTCGAGGCGCTTCCCCCGCTTAACGAGTGGATCGAGATCGAATCCGGTGTCTACTTCAAGCACGAGACCGTCGCACCTGGCAACACAGGTGAGAAGAAAGTCACCATCAAGGAGTCGACCGTGAACTTCCGCTTCAAGTCTTCACTGCCCGACGCGTCCAAACGCATTGACGCCATCACCGATCGCGCCTTCAAGAACTACCAGGCTATCGAGCGTCGTAAGCACGTGGAAGACAAGTCCCGCTACTTTTACATCCAGGCTGACACTGCGACTGCCAACACCGGTGACGACAACAATAACAATGCTACACCCGTGGTCGCCTACAAGCGATACGCTCTGGGCGAGGAGAAAACCTTCGAGAACCTATTTTTCGAGGAAAAGGAGCAGGTGCTGCAACTGCTGGACAACTTCGAGAACCGTTCGGGCAAGTTCGCTGTCAAGGGGTTCCCCTACAAGCTTGGCCTTCTATTGCATGGACCCCCCGGCACCGGCAAAACGAGTCTCATCAAGGCCATTGCACAGTACACTAAGCGCCACGTGGTGACCATTTCGCTCGGCAAGATCAAGACCAACCAGCAGCTGCTGGACGCACTCTTCGACATGAAGTTTGCCGTGCAGGGCTTGGACTCACCCATCGAAATGGACTTTGAGGACGTCGTCTTCGTCATGGAGGATATCGACTGCGCGTCGTCTATTGTCAATGCACGTGCAGATGAGGCGAGTGACTTCTCTTCCAAACCTGAAGACACAAGTGATAAACCGGTGCAGTCCGAAGACGACAAGCTGGTGACCAGTATGATCAAGGCGTGTCTAGAGGACGAGAAGAAGTACAACATGCGCAACGACAAGCTCAACCTGTCGGGGCTACTGAACGTGCTGGACGGGGTCATCGACTGTCCTGGACGCATCATAATCATGACAACGAACCACCCGGAGAAGCTCGACCCTGCACTTGTACGTCCGGGTCGCGTGAACAAGAAGCTGCTGCTGAGCTACATGGGCTGCACACACATCCAGCAGATGGTCGAGTACTACTGCGTGGCTAAGCTGGACGAGTCCCAGGTGCGACGACTATCCGAAGCCTTCGATATGTCGTCACAGGCATTTACACCCGCCGAGATCGAGGAGCTCTGTGCAGAGCATGACGACGTGGATGCCGTACTGGGAGGCTTCGAGAAGCTCGCTGCAAAGCACTGAAACAGAGGACTCTTTCAACGTATCATACTACTCTAGAGTCTAGACTAGACTGCATTCCATCAAAGTAAGTGATTCTTTTCATTTAACGTTACCGATTTCCATGTTGTACACATGCATGCATGTCACCCGCTCAACAGTAATGTGGGCCCCACAACCTTATTCTCCCACCGTAAGGCAAGCGACAAAATCTCAAGCATCCACATCCGCGTAGCAACAGCTACAGTGCCGTACACGATACCTCCATAGCTGAAGATAACTGCATTTTCAATATCCGGATCACCTTCGAACAGAGTCCTGTACCCCCACAACAATCATTAGCACCAATGCAATACGCTTCACAACACCATCCACCACGTACCAAGTGAACATGTCCAGCCACTTGTCTTGTTTCTTTCCAACTTGGACATTTGAATCTCCGACAGTACCGTCTGGACGAACTTTCCGCAGTCGATTGCGATCTACAGACCGGAAGAGAATGACATATCCGGTGTCCATCTGAAACCGGGAGAGCAAGAACAATGACTGAACGGCTTCCATCGTACTCGTGTTTGTGATGATGCGATACATGATAACGTTGTGGTCATCGACGACTTGAAGTACCTTCATCGACAAATGCATCGCGGACGAATACAGTCCCGCTAGACCTCGTGGAGAAGATACCACTCGCCAAGCACGCGTCGACATTTCCAATGGGTTACTACCGACAAATCGCTTCTTGAGTGTGAATTTGACATGATCCGAAGCCTCACGCCGCTGTTCTTGCCACCCGAAGACCTCGAGACCCGTGGTGAGGTAGCTGTTGTCTGCCATAAATTTCTTGATCTCTTTATATGCTTGACTGGCAATTTGGTGACAATCAGAGACCGTCAAAGGCTCCAAGGCCACATCGGTTACCTGCATGGAATGTACAGCAATGGACCTCAGATGTAAGTAACAAAGCTCTTTGCATCCTCCTCAGTCCCACGATCTCAGGGTGGACCACCTTCTAGCAAAGTACTGTACCTACCGTAATGGGAGGTGGCTCCAGCGTCACCTTGGGCTCGGAGTCCAGTAGATGCTGCGTCTTGACATGGAACTTGGCGAACTTTGACGCTAAGAGTGCCAGCTCCTTGTTCTCTTGGACCAGTTGTTGCTTCTTGAGGGAGAGCTGCATGTACTGCTCGACCAGGTCGTCTGAATAGTTACGCTCTTCGGCAGAGCCCAACGCCCCAGCGATCTCGCACCACTCCATTTGCTGCTGCTTTAGCTGGAGTGTACGCGAGTACTGGAGCTCCAACTCTTTCGCCTCCTGACGCAACGCCTTTAACATGTTCTGGTCGATACGTAATCGAGAATGTTAGCTGATACCTGAAAGAAGGGAGACCGTCTGGAACTCTACCTGCTTCCGGTAGTAGCTGTTCTTAACATGCTCTCGCTGACGAGCTCTCTTGGCTTCTTCGGTCTGCGTGGCTTGCAGCATAAGTGCATACTTTAACTCAGCCATCGAGCTGGAACTAGAGACCTCTGACCCACGGACCCAATTGTAGACTGACCGAGAGCGGAGACGCTCGAAATCTGGGGGATGAGCTGGACAACATGAAGTGAGGTAAAATCCACAGTAAAGCAGTATTGACTTGGGATCTTTGTCGAATGAATGCCTGACCGATCTATTGGTGGGAGTGGTCTATAGCTCCTGGAACTGTGGGCTCCTCTAACTTAGCCGAAGCTCGACTTAAGATCTCCAGCACTTCCGAGTCCTTCTTCACGGCCTTTTCCCACGCATCAGTCGCCTTCATCCGCTCGGCGCAAGCCACGACTGCCGAGGGCTCACCGACCTCTTCTAGAACGCAGAGTGATATGGTGAATGCAGTGCTATTGAGTACCAGACCGCGTGAATCAGCTTCTGCGAATAGAGCAACCACGTCAGCGTGCAGACCACATGTGCGGGCACGGACGATCGCATACTCTATTGTCCACGCGTCCCAAGTCACAATTCTACTGTAGCGCTCGAGGAAGGCCCAATACGATAGTTCCATCCCGTCTACGATGAACGCAGTGCCAGGCAAATTCACGCCCCGTTCCTTCTGAAGCTGCTGGATTTGCTTCCAGATCACCTCAAACACGCGCTTCATCACTCGTCGGCTCATTGGCGCGTGGCCTTGTGCCTGCCAGCGGTCCAAACACACCAGCATGGTCGAAAAGTCGTCGTTGGACTGACAGATATTCACAATTAGTGAGTTCAAGTGCGTGCGCTGACTTGGATGCTGGCGATCAAAACACCGCTCGACTTCTAAGCGGTCAAACACACTGGCATCGCTGGATTCGTCTCCGCCTCGCTGTCCACCTGCAAGCAGAGGATACAGCAGCTGAGAGTAGATTTCCGGCCGCAGCTTCACATTCTTATTCCACAGAGCTGCACGCATGATCTCAAGCGCCACCGCCAGGTCTCCGGCATACAAACTCTGCAGAATTCCTTGCGAGAACGAATGTACGGTTCGTGGAATCACGTTCGGGAACTTTTCGAACAGCTCCATAATCGTTGGACATTCGGTGAGTTTCCTCCTACCAGCTTCACTTTGGTCGCCTTCTCGATGGATTTCTGCTCGGTACTGTGCAATACTTTTGAAGAGGTCACGGACTGTTTGGTTGCTGGCCTTGTTGCTGTATAGCTGCATCTCGTGCAAAAGCTCCATCATGTGCTTAAAGTTGCCATCCAATACGGCGTGCTGCAGCAGATAATTGACGATACTGCTGTCTGTTCCCTGCGTTATGTATACGAGCCCGTGTTCCTTTGCGTGCATGTATAAATCGGCGACCTTCAGTCGACTAGCGTCGTCTGGAGCACTCTCCACAGCGTGTGCGAACGAGCCAGCATCAATCGGCACGCGCTGAGTTGATCCGTACTGAAGCAGCAATTTGGCCGCATCATGTTGACCTGCGGCTGCAGCAGCACTAACCGCAATCGAGAGCCGCTTTGGATCCAGTGCGAACGCACACGGGAATCGCCCCATGTATCCAATAATCATTCTCCCCATCATTTCAGCAGTATATCGCGTGTGGACACCAGCCTCAGGATCCTTTTCAGTATCTTCTTCTTCGTTAGCTGAAGACTTAAAGAAGATTTCCGGGCGATGAAAAATTAATCTAACGAGCGCGTGGGTAGACGAGTAACTTGAGTGCAACTCTAGCTGCTCCATAGTGTTGAGTAGTGTCTCTACTCGAAGTCGCAGTCCGTGTTCCTGTTCGTCCGTGACTTTGACCGTACATTCCATTCGCAACAAGAAGTTGAACGGGTCTGACTCATGGATTCTCAACAGATTGTGCTTGCCGACCACTTCGCTCTGGTAGAAGGGCGTCGTGGCCTGTTTGCGGTCCGCGTCCAGCATGGCCCAGAGCACGAAGCGGTGCATCTGCATTCTCGCATTAGTAAGAGTAGGCCACGTCGTGCGGGCCCTGGGAATTCTTGTCCACACCTTCTTCTGCTTTTCGTCCTCTGAGAACTCCTCATAGCCATCCCACACGCGCTCGTAGCGGCCCTCGCGCAACGCTTTGTACATCAGCGACAAATATCGCGCTTCGTTGAGCTTCTGACCGCGGGATCGCAGCTCGTTAAACGCCTTAAGCGCCGTATGGTACGTCGTGGCCGAACTCACGATGAGGTCATGTAGGTCGGAGATTGAGTTTGTACTGACGTTTGCCTCCACGCTCTCCGTCGTCTCGACAGGTGTGGTGACCGGGAGGGTTGAAGGAGACTCCAATACGTCAAGTTCGGCTTTCTCTTCATGAAAGAAGCGTGAGGATCCCAGAATCCTCGAAGGTGTGCAGATAGAGTATGGAGTGGTGAAGAGAGGCTCGGCAAGACGGGGTGACGCTCGAGCGGCGCGCAATATCCGCACGCGCGCACTGACTCGGCGGAGCTGATGCATTTTGGAATTGCTGCCACACAAAATGCTGAAGAGATACCGGTACAGTGTACCATTATGACGTGTTTATGCAGTCATTCGTACTTAAGATGAGCCCAACTCTGAGTGATGGTCATACTTCAACTTACTCTCGAAGAGCAGCAGGAACACCAGCAAGCAGCAGAAGATCGGACTGTCTATCGCCATGCCAAGCAACAAGGAGAGCGCACAGAGCCTCAAGCGACCAGCTCCACCGCCCGCTCTCCCTCGTTTACCAGTATTCCCACCGCTGCCGCCGCTTCCTCCGCCGGACACGAACAAGTGGATCGAACCGACGAGAAAGGCGTCGCCCTTGCCGCCTGCTCTCACAAGGAGCGAGCCACGCCCAAGGCGCTTTGGAACGAAAATTACCAATCTATTGAGTGCTGGCGATGGTATCTCGGTCGTGCACAAGGCTGATCACAAATCAACTTCTTCGGTTGCCTTAGCGGCGGCTCAGAAATACTACCACCAGTATCAGCACTCGTCACATCCAGGGAAGAAACCGTGCATTGCTGATAAGCTGGAGGGCGAGAACTACGAGACGAAGCCTGAACATGTGATTAAGGTGAGTCCAATTGCCTCGTCGGAGGACAGTTCGAACAAGAACGACCTGCACGTGTTGTCCAAGAGTCCTCAGTCGATTTTACTACAGGAATTTATCCCAAAAATGACCCCCATGCAGCCAGGGCACACTATCTGGAGCGTGACTCCTGATGAACTTACTGCGTTGGCGAAAGAAGTGGCTGCCATGAAGAAAGAATCCGCTGAGCCTGTCAAGACGCTGTCGTACGCGGAGGCGAGCAAGCGCAACATCCCTCGATTCGCCGAAAGTCGAGCTTCACAAGAGATGAAAGCGGTGGAAGATGAGCAACCGGAACGAACTTTCAAGAAATACTACGCACTGCCGATCATCCCGTCTTACGAATCATCACGCAGGTACCTCGCCAACGGCGTTGTAACATGTACTTGCAAGGTTCCAGGTTGACTACCGTTTGTGCGTTATTTGCAGCAGGGACATCTATCACGCGGCGACACTAGAGGAAAAGGTAGAGTCATTTCAAGACAGGACTGGTCCAAGCACGGAGGACAAGTCAGCATTTGCGCTGGACCAAACCCAGATGTCTAGTCTTTCAGCCACTACGGCCACATTTTATCCACGCCAGACGACCGAACCAAACGATCTCATTCAACTGGTTAATATTTACTCGTGGCGCGTCCAATGATAGCGCAATCTAACGATTGCTTTGTGCTGTTCGCAGTTGAAGGCTTCGCTCGCATCGAAGAAGGTCGCCCCGCACATGGATTGGTGGCCGGTAACATGGTGTTGCTTTTGTTTAGTCCCCTCCGTTGTGAAAGAAATGTTAAAATGTATGAGATGTGCTTTGCAGGGGGACTGGAAATGCACAAATTGCGGTGGGGCGAGCTTCCTGGGTGTGCTGGTCTCCACTTGAAATTACTCACTGATGTTGCATCTTCTGTGCTTAGGCAACCACGTACTGAGTCCTAAAGCATGCGTGCTCTTGCTTAATGACGAACTAACCGCTCCCTTCTCGAGATACAGAACTTCTCGTACAGGGACACATGCAAGCGATGCCGAGTTGGGCGGCTGGAAGACGCTGGCTTCGTATTCCAACGACCTTCCTCTGATTCATCAATCTGAATTTGCGGGCGACGACAAGTACACATAAATGCTTTCGTTTCGCGATCCCTTCACGCTATCAATGCCTTCACTTACCAATCACGAATATCAAGATTTTTCTAGTGATCGCACACTTGATTTTTGCATTTCGTCCTCGCTATCAGACGCTAGTTTTCTTCGTCGTCATTTCCGAGCGGTGGCAAATGTTGCTTAACCAACTGCTCCAGTAGCGGCACGTTTGCACCATCCACGTCGGCAATTTGCTTGCGGTCCTGTGATGCCACAGTATGCCATTGTTAGTTGCTCCAAGGCGTATGTAGCACCAAGTATTGCACCTTAAAAAATAGGAATCGAGGTTTGCAACTTCCAGTGTCCTCGATGCCATCGACGTGAAATCCAACGTTTAGCTACAACAACAAAAGATGACGAGTTAGGCTCAATACCACACTGTCGACGGTTTGCCTACTGTTGCAAACATGAGGCGTCGCTCGGCGTGGTCGATGTCCGTAGTCAAGCGCTTGTATGTCGGCTCCACGATCTTACATGGCCCACACCAATCCTTGTGTACATCGACAACTGCCGGAGCAAGGTTAATTATCGCTTGAAGCTGCTTTGCTTACTCGAGGAAGTGAAAAACGCACCAACTAGTTTCTTGTCGCTGGACTCCAGCACTTGTACCCAGTGCTCGGCGTCGCGAACCTTCGTCACCAACTCCATCGCTGCTTCTTTCAGAGTAGCAACTCTTCGGATTTCTTCAGCGACGCTTGACTAGACCTCGTGCTATGATAACAACCCAAAACGCATGAATTACTCTTGTTAAATACGTTGTGGTATAACTGCGTCTTTTGCTTTTTTAATTGTTAAATATCTGCATGTCATGCATGTTGGTGATGGCTAATAATCTACAGTCGCTTCTCGAGCAGGTCGACCTAATAAGTAGTTGATGCAACGGGATGTTGCCAGCTGGCCCGAGTCACGTAGCTTTGGTGTTGCTCTTCCTTCGATCAGAAGTGCCGCTACGCAGCTCAGTAGCTTGTTGGGTCTCGTTCGGACGAATGGACCGGTCGAGCCACCGCTTCAGCTCACACGGGTGATGATGTCGCTCCGTCGAGGAGGAGGAGGAGGAGAAGAAGAAGGAAATGTCCTTGACGACGGGTTACATAGAGTCGTTGCCCGGCACGTCGAGGCAGCCGTAGAAGCTCTTGAGCAGCTTGGTGATCTTGCAACCCTGCTTCTCGCAGCGGGCCATAACCACAGGCGGACACTTGCAAAGCGCTTCTTCAAGCTCTAGCAGGAAGGCGTTGAGGAACAGCACACGCTCGCGTACGACGCTCTTGGAGTTCTTACCAAGAAAGCGGCCCTGCATCACGGGGAATTCGGTGTCCTCAAACACACGCTCGAGACAGGAGGCGAGTAGACAGCTCTTGTCGCCGCCACAGCACACAGCCTGGTCCTGGAAATGGCGGCGCGCAAGCTGCTGTAGCTGGAGGAAGGCCGAGAAGCGGCGGTACACGAGGTCCTCGCCGCCGAAGCGATCGGTTTGCACGCGAATCGCGTAGTCGGTGTGGCCTGCCACCTTGCGAGTGGCCACGACGGAGCAGCGCACGTCGCCAAGGGCGATGGCGGCGTTGGTAGGCGAGGTGGGCGGAAGCATCTAGGCTGGAGGTTGGTTGAGGACGCGTGCAATTGGCAGCAAGTTCTGGAATGAACTGAGGCGATGACGACTGACAGCATCGACAGATCGTCTGGCTTTTAACCCTTGCGCTACTGCTGTTGGCTCTGCATTGGCTGGCCACGCGACAAGGATGGCGACTTGTTCGAGCAGAGACTGAGACCCGGTCGTTCAGCGTGCGTCATTGACCCGTCGCTACGCTGGACGCTACGCACGCCAGTACCGAACCGACTGCAACACTCGAAACGGAGGTGGTGGAGGGCTAGCCTAGGCATGTGGTCTACGCTGGAGCTCCCACGCTGCCAATGCATCCTTCTGAAATGCCACAACCGTCGTGGGTTGCGGTCACCGCCTGAAGAAGAGCTGCAGTGTTCTGAGTGGACCGCATGGCGTAGCAAGCCTCCAGTCGCACAAGGTCCATGTTCTACTATTTTGCGGAGCCCGTCTCCATTTTGCTTCAGGATTCTACTTTTCTCGGGTTCTATTTTTACAGCATGAAGTGACAAATCCGAAACGCTACGCTGACAAGGAACTTCCAACGCACTTGATACACGCTGGCGACAAAATGGGGCCGTCACTGGCGGGGATTCCGCGCGCTCGCAGCTCGCGTTCCGACGCTAAATAAAGGCTTTGGAGGCGTTTCCGGCGATGCTGTGTGGCCTGCGCTCACCACCATACTGGCAGCGACATGCCATCACGCAATTTGATGCACTTCAACATTCGCCTGTGTCTGCCGGCCACCGGAGCGTTCTCGATCACCAGTCCAGACATGCGCCAGTCGGGCGTTCCAATGCTGACTCGCGAGTTGAATCGATGTAGCCCCTTTTAGTCATCCGCGTTAAACGCTTTCGAGCGAACGAAGGCTTTGCGGCGCCGGCTTTCACCAAGTTGTGAAGCAGAACAGGCTCACAGTGTGAGCCACAAGACTTCCATCCGGGTACAAGTGCGCAATGAAGATCTCGCAGAGATCGACATGGGTGTAACGTGAGGTAATCGGGCGACACGACATGAACACGATATGGTCCGTGCGTATATTATTATAAGTATCCCTGGTCAGTGAGCAAGGGTGCCGCCTCCAATCGCGACTTACTAGGGCTTCTTCGATATACATGCTCTATAGTCGGGGTAATTTTGACCAACTCATTAGCTAAACCAAAGCCAGATGCTTCGCACTTCCTCCCCCCAACTCTCATTAGCTTACATCCATCAAAAATTTCCTTGCTCCCGAAATAAAGCTTATTAGCTTCGGGAAGTATAGCGAATGGCCAAAAGTAAAACATACTCCGAAGTACATATATCCAGCAACAATTGAAACGATCACAGGTATAATACTCTAGCTTTAGTTCGTGCTATTATGTGCTGACCGAGTGTCCACCAGCGTAAACTGGTCAATACCTGCTAGTATTCATTTTTGTCTGCCTGGCAAGTCAGACTTGACCGCTACTGTGTATTATCCTTAATGTCTTGAGTTGCTGCCTATACTCCAGACCGGATTTACCCTCATAGCATTACCTCCTTTCTCCTACATCGAATATACAAGTGAGCTTGTAGCCGAATCGCGTTACTGCACCTTTATTCCATGTGAATTTCCATATGACTGGTTACCATGCGCGCCTTTAATCCATTCAAGGTGCTCCAAATGACCATAAAGGCGCTGGTAATCCAGCGCACCTTTATCATTTTTAGGTAAAGGTGTAGTAACTTTAGAGCGCCTTTTACTCAAACTTGATATTTTATAATATTTCTGCTGCGAATATACTAGTATACAGTAATATAAAAATCGCGCCCGTAAGCTGTAATTCTCTGAAGCTTATTTAATGGGCCATTCTTGTATGGTATATTCCTTTTCTCCGCCATCTCTACCTCCACAACCAAGGATTCACCATTGTAGTCGCATACACAATCGATTCACTGGCCTCTCTACAACTATATTGTCCAACGCCCCTTAGATCCTGTTATAAGTCTCGTGGAGCATACACTCTCCATCTCCGGCTGATGACAGGATATTCGACCATTCTACGTTTGTATTAAAGATGGCCCATGCGTTGGACTCGTATCCTACAATGCATAAACATATTTTGTCAATAGATAATTCAAAAACACAGGGATGCGCTCTTTTATTAAAAGCGTTTGCAAACTCTGAAAATGAGACTCTTTTTTCTAAAAGCCCACTATTTAAGAAATTATTATTTTTTAGCCCTCCCTTTTTAAAAGTTTGTTATTTTGGTTATTATGTTAAAATCTAATTAACAAAATTAGTAGTAATTTGTTTTTACAAATGATAGTGCTGACACGCGAGTCAGAACAGCAATACCCCCAAACAATTACCAATATATATCTGTGATTGAGTTTGGTACTACCTCCGGTCCCAAAAAGAGAATAGTCAATTCATTCAAAACCAAAAAAAACTTTCCTCCAATCAGAGTAGAGATAAAATTAAACTCAATTTTACCGCTACCAAGATGGCGATTTATGCTTGAGCGTCGGCAATTGCTATAGCCTCGACACAACACGAAAGCGACCGGGGCAGATTGCCGGTCTTAAGAAGCACATCTTTCTTCAAATGTGGAATGTCGTAGTTGTTGCCACCGCTAGCAAGCATCGAAGCTTCCAATACACTTTGCAATGTTAGAAAACACTTTAGTGGTTGCACTTACCATCTCATCAAAGGCTGCATTGACAGCAACAATGAGACCGTCAATGTCTCTCGTGGGCTTGCTGCTCTGTAGTGCCTGGAGTGAACGAAACCAGCCCAAATCAAGGACGTTGAAGTCCGGGCTTCGTGGTGGCTGGCTAACAAAGGTGATCGACCATCCGTCCGCTGTCGCTGCTGCTTTCACTGCGGAACGGTCGGAACCACGATGCGGCGACGCATTATCCTGCTGATCTACAATTTTCTTGTCACCTGTAAGGAAAAAAAAATAGTCATGACTAATTTTAGTCTACACAAACTATAATCGCAGCTTACCGGGCCAAATACGATTGACGGCGGGGATGGCATTTTGCGTCAGCAAGCGCTCGTATATATCTTTTGTCATCTCGACCGGAGTGGTAATAGGGGTGCCCTTGGGTCGGTTCTTGCTATTGCGGAGTGCAAGCGTCGTCTCCACAACAGGCCAGAGTCCTATCTTGCCGTCGAAGGTCAAGCGGCCTTCAGCATCGTAACGTGGGCAAGCCACCGCCACCAAAACATAACCTTCGTGCGATGGTTTTGTTCTTGGTGACTGCATATGGTCTCTTCTCGTCGCATGTAAGATACAACATGTTTCGGTTTTGATGCACGTAAAACCACTTTTCGTCAACGTGCACTACGTCATGCATGCTGGCAAATTGATATTTCTGCTCACCTTAAGTACAGCAACACACATTAGGATAACGTCAGCCCGATAATGCACAACATAATAAAATTAGAAGATGAGATTATTACCTGCTCGCTCATTGACGAACGAACGGCCAAACTTGCAGCGCTTCGCGGTGAGCAATGGCTTCGGCACGACTGTGATCCTTTCCAGCACATTCTTCTCGTTCAGGCACCGGGAAAGCTGGGTGCGTGGGATTCCTGTTGAGGCAGCAAGACTGCGGAGCGTTGTTCTATCGTGGACCGGTGCGGCTTCTATCTTCGCCTTAATTTCACCGTCGGTATGTGCGCGTGGAGGACCGTGGTTGCGCAGACGCTGAGTAGAAATCGTAGCGCGGACGGTCCACACCTTGTAGATAGTGTTACGGTGGCAGCCAAAGTGCATTGCTACCTGGGATATAGCTCCCCGTGGAAGCCTTCCACAGGTAGCCATGTCCGAGAGAAACAGCACCACTTCCAGCTTCACGGACAGCGAGAGGTTCTTGATGTTGGGTGAGCGGGGCATCTTGAAAGAGAGTGTGGTGAAGCGCCAGTTGGCTTTTGCGAACAAGAAGTTGATTGATGGGAAGTGACCCGATCCAGCCTTGAGATACGTGGTCGACGACGGTGCGTCAGTGATTACGTCATCATCCGTGAAGTTTACGTAATCATCGGAGCGGATCGACATGGTGCAATCATTTGGATACACGATCAACCGACAAGGACACGATCTACTGATGACACATCATCTGATTTGTACCCA